ACCCCCTTTCCCCTTTCGACCACTCCACACGGTCGCCGCTCGTTTACGGGATGATGCCACTTGCCAGCCTACCAAACCTTTCGTGCCAGTTTCATTGATTTCACCCAACCTTTCCGGCTTGGCTGGGGGCACCTGTCCTCTTCCTCTCTTTTCCCTTTCTCTCTTTTCTCCTTCCTTTCCTTTCCCTCCTTGCTTTCGTCATAGCTGGGAACCCTTCTTTCCTCTTGGTGTGTCCTTGGACGCTTGTGTCGTAGCTGGGAACACCTTCTTCCCCTTTCCTTTCTTCTTCTTCTTCTTCTTCTTCTCTTCTCTCCCTACTCCTCCCTCCTGTCAGGACCTTAGAGTGGGGTGCTACTAGGGCTCCTGGCCTTACGACTAGTTGCAAGGTCACTACTTTGACGCTACTAAGGGTTCCTGGCCTGATTAGGCGCGAGGACGTGATGATTCCCAGATCGGACAACAGCGTCCCTCCCTTTTGGATGGCCCCCCCCTTCCACGGGCGACTCTCGCGTATGGGAAGTCCCGCGTACCTGCACTCTTGAAGATCTTGTTCTCTACCACTTGAGTTTTCATGTGAGGCCCCCCTTTCCCCTTTCGACAACTCCACACGGTCGCCGCTCGTTTTCATGACGATGCCTTTTGCCAACTGCGACTTCCACTCACAGCCTTCAGCCTACCAAACCTTTCGTGAACTTCGCCAGTTTCATTAGTTTCACCCATCCTTTCCGGCTTGGCGCTTGGGGGGGTGTGCCTCTCCTCGGGGAGGCGTGTGTGTGTGTGTACCCCTTGTGGTCACAGGGACGCCAACGAAGCTATGGAAATCGACTGGATGGAAGTTTGGGCGCAAACTTCTGTACCTGCTCAGAGTTGACGGCCACACTGAACTTGATGGACCTCCACTTCCTTTTCAGGTTCCCTTACCTGTACTCTTAGGCAATGGTAACCTAGGCCGGCGTGTGGCACCGCGTTCAGTTCAGTACACCCTATCCTAAGTGTGTGTGTGTGTGGGGAAGACCAATGAAACGATGCAGCAATCCATCGTGAGGAGAGAACAAGATTTCCGAAGGCTGCAGGAGAACGCGAATGCCATGATGCTACCTTGTCTTGGAGGATTGGGCCCGAAGAGCATACCAGCGTCCTAAGCCCCTGCAGGTTCATGCAATGAGGGTTCGAGTTCCCCGATTATGATGAAGATCATCACGTCGCTGAAGCCTTCGCCCAGTAGCTCAGCATAGGTTCAACAAAACGAAAAAGTTCCCTGTCAGAACTGCATCCTCACCAGCTTTGCCGCCAGTGCTGGACAGCCCCTGTCAAGGGAGAGATGAGCTGTTCCGAGAAGGCCCGAGATCAAAGACGGAGCAGTAAGTTCCTCAAGTCGGTGACACCAAGAACGTTTGCTGCAGGTGATGAACGCCAGCATGTGACAACTGTCCGGACGCTGAAGCTTTTGCCAGGAAATTGGCGATTCGGGCCGAACGAAAGCGGCGAAAGACCGTGAAGAGGTCTGAAGAAGTGAGCTCTCAAGCTAAAAAGGGGTCTGAAATTCCACAGAGCCAGCGCCGTGACGGCATGCACTTGTAGCTTGAGAGGTCACTGTTTGCATTCTGCACTGGCACCCTGCTGAACCGCAGAGCGCTCTTGAAATTCAAGGAAAAGGCTGCTGCTTTCACCCGTCGTGCCGACTTCGGGATTTTGATGTGCGCATGGTGATTTTTACTATTATACATATATACATATATATATATATTTTTTTTTTACATATATTACACACATGATTGCTACTATACACTGTCCACTCATATAGACATACATACACATATATATATATATGTTTATTTCTATTAGCCACACATGCAAGCAGTCCGACAGACTCACTGACATCAAAACTATGTGATCAAGTCATGATCGCTTGGCTCAGGCGGTTTGCCTTTGTTGTGTTTGGCAATTCCAGTCTTCAGCCTGTGCTACCTGTCATCCGCTGCAGCATTTGCAGGTAGCGCATTCCCAGAGCGAGTCCTCACCGCGTGTCACGCGATTGAGTTCTCAACTGGCCATGAGCACCGTCCTGGCCGTGCGCTTGGTGCTTGCTTTGTTGATGTTGAGAGTCTTCACGAAGGGGAACGTTGCAGGACTCCACACCCCAATCCCCTTCCAGTTGAACATGTTGTTCCTTGAGTTCAGGCGCTGCCTTTTGTCTAAACAGGTGTTCTTTGTCCAGGAACCGCGCCCTTGCTTGCACCTTGTTCTCCTTGTACCTCGCTTCTGGAGACAGCGCGTGCCAGTACTACTTCTACTGGCCGTTTGGCCAGTCGGCCGCTTTTGCTCACTTCCCACGCAAGTGCAGACTCCTCCCATATTTCAGGATTAGAACGTGAAGATGCTGAGAGGGAGAGGTTGTCTGTAGCATTGCTGAAAGCATCTCTATGTGTCCGCGACCACAGTCCATTCTGTTAGAGCTCCAGGATAGACCTCTCACCAAGTTGACTTTCCTCTTCAAGGGCCGAGCGCGGTCCACTCTGCGCAAACAGCTGGGAGAAGTGGCTAAGGTTTTGTCGAGATTCCGTCATCCTTGTTGGGCAGCCAGACGGCCAACGTTTCCTGGATTTCTTAGAGGCCTCGCCAAAACCGTGGTCGAAACCGAGTGGCGGGGGCCAAAGCAGTGGCGCACGCCCTCAAATTCATTGCCCACAAGCTTGTATCAAAAGACCTGGGGGAGCAGCTGGCCGGGCCGATCGTGTCAATTGGTGCGCGCGGAAAAGTGGCATGGGAAACGTTGCCCTTGCCCCTTTTTGTGGTGTGCCAGTTAGAGCAAGCAGCATCATCGGGGCCGCTCGAGGATCGGTTTTTGGTTGGTTGCTTTTTGCTCATGGTCTGGTGCAGCCTGCGTTTTTTGGATATTCAGCGTGTTGACTTGACTTACGTGCAAACCTTGGACGCCACGATCCGTGGCTGGGTCTGGCGGAGCAAGACCAGCCCTGTGACGGGCTTGAACTGGGGTCGCGAGTTCGGTGCATCCCTTGCAGATCTGCGCAAAGCCTTCCCGAAACGAGATTTTCTTTTATCTGACAGTGCGCGACCGCTACAATATTCTTGTGCGTTGGCCCAGTGCAGATGTTTGTGCGAGTGCACCTGTTTGGGTAGAGAAGATGTTTTCAAGTATTCTTTGCGTTCCTTGAAAGCAACCTGCCTTTCCCGGGACGCGCAGTTGCAGATTTCTCCTGAGAATCGCGCAGCGCCAGGTCATCACAGGCTTCGGTCCAGCTCTGGTTGCGTTGAGAAGCGCTGCAGAGATGATGTACCAGGAGCCTTACGTTGCCAGCGGGAAATCTTGCGTCAGGTGGCCAAGTGGACTCCGTTTACGACCCTCCAACGTGGGGTCGCGCCGGTCAAAGAGCAGCCGCTGCCTCTGCGGGCTGGCGGGCTAGACCGCGCTTCGGACACAGAGGGCGAGTCCGCAGAGGAGGCTGCTGCCGACAAGCTCGCGATGGAGAGGACAACTCAAGCATAGCTAGCGAGGATGCTGTTGATGATGGGGCCCATTGAAGATGTGCTGGAACCCGGCTTGTGGATAGTTAATGGATTGTCAGGTTGGTATCGCCGCGCCTTTGAGGTTGATCTGGATGCAATTGGGTGTTTGCATTGGGATGCCCGAGGCTGGGTGCGAGCTTGCCGACCTTCCGCTGCGCTGAAATCACAATATGAATTTTCGGCCAGCGATCCTGCGTTGAAAGGGTTCCGTCGGTGTGGCCATCCGGCCTGCTGCGCATAAGAAAGCAATGAGTCCACATTGATTAGGGCGCGGACCCAAGTGTGTCCGACTCGTTGAAAGTCCCGCAGGTGCGGGCGTGATTGAAAGTCCCCAAGGCGTGGGCATGGTCCGAAGTCCCACAGGCGTGGGCGCGGTGAAAAGTGAAAAGTCCCACAGGCGTGGGCATGGTTCGAAGTCCCACGTGGGCATGGTTGCAAGTCCCACAGGTGTGGGCATGGTTGCAAGTCCCACAGGCGTGGGCAGGGTGAAAAGTCCCACAGGTGTGGGCATGTTCAACAACCCCCCCGATTTGTGCATCGGTGTGGTTCCCACTGGCATGGGCCCGCTTAAACTCTCCGTAAGGACTTGGTGTTGTTTGTTTTTTGGGTGGCCCCTGGTAGGTTTTCAGGGAGTGGTGCAGTTGCCAGTGGGCCCCAGCATGGAGGTCATGGTTTTCTTGGTTCGATCAGAGCAATCATCGGCCTGCGCGTGTGCCTCTTTGCGTGTCTTGCGATGGCCATGGAATGGAAAGATGAGTTGATTGCCGCAGTGAAAGAAGATGTCGCCAAAGCTGTGCTAGATATGGGTTATGAATCAAAGGACTTGTTCTTGGCCTCTGTCGTGGATCAAGCGTCGTTAGAACAGTGGCTGGCGAGGCTTCGAAACAAACTAGGTGACAGTGTGGGAGCCTTATATAGATGACGCGGAGTGGCTCACGCATCCCAAAGCAGGCGCCGTGCGCCTTTTCTGGCGCAAACACAGCGCCAGCAAAGGGTGGCGACGCCGCCCCGACTCAGCCTGGCCACGCCGCTGGTGCCCCACGCGTAGCAAGATCACCACCAGCGACCGCGAGCGTTGGCGGCGCCAGCTGGAGAAAGATTAGTATACTTTCTGCAGTGATACAGCCCGATACTTTGCCGGCGTGGCCTACCTCCAGTTGATTTCCCAGCAGGCTTCTGGGCGCAATTGGGAATGGTTGCCATGGAAAAGAGCCCTGAGGGAAGAGCTAGCCTTGCCGGGGGTTCCGCGCTGCGGGTCCAACAACTCTACTTAGAAACACGGGCGCGTCGGGCATCTGCGCTCGTGGACCGTGTACGGCAAGAAACTCGTCGGCTACTATGCCGAACGCCCCTCCGAACATTTCAGGGGCCCCTCAGTGTCGGAGGCCGAAGCAGCTGACCGCGCTGCCATGGACTTTGTTTCTCAGGTTGCAGCGTGGATGACGCATTGCGCCATATCTCTGTTGGCCGCGGCCTCCTACGTACTTTGCTGGCAGCCAAGCCCAAAATACAGCGCCCATCAAAGGGTGATGGAAAGGGTGACTTCATCGAGGGTAAAGGGCTGAAGCGTGGAGAGCCAGACGATGCTGGGGTCGCCCTCAAGAAGTTGCGAACGGGTGAATGTTGGAGGTGGATTGCGGGCGATGCCAACTGCCGTTTCAAGCATGCTTGCAGTGTTTGCGGGAACACAAAACATGACTCTAGCAATTGCCAGGGCAGGCGCCCTCCGAAGCTCCAGTGGAGCACCCAAGTGTGCTGTATCTTGCGCCTCCACCTTAATGGAGGAGTTAGCGGGGGTTTCTCTTGACGACGGACTGTGTGCTGTCGAGCAGTCCCGGCCTCTTCCTTCTGACCATGGCCGGGGCTCCACCGACACCCTTCTCCATTGGAGCAGCAGCGCAGTGGTGTTCTCGAGCCAATGCCCAGCCTGTCGAGCGTAAAGCTGCGAGATGGCGGTGGCGTCACCTTCACAGCCGATTGGTTCCAGCCCCAAGAGTCTGACCTCGGCAGCGCAATTAGGCAGTGGTGGCAACGCATTCAAGATTGGAACTTGATGCAAGGGCTTGATGCCCATGTACAGGCCCGTGCGCGCACTCCTTGGCTGAATGACGAAGAAGCGCGCAACGACTTACAGTTTTTCTGAAAAGCAAAGGGGTTGCAAACTGTGCAGAGATTTGTACTGGGCAGCCATTGTGTTTGGGCCTCCTACAAGGGTGCCTTGATGTCTGGGGAGATATCGATGCAGCGTTGCCTCACACCCTGGCAGAAGGTGTGCCCACAGGTATCTTAAAAACCATACAACCTTCTGCAGATGGTGTTTGGCGAGAGACGGGGGTAGACGAGCCCCCGACCGCAGACTTGCAAGTTTGAAGCGAACCCTGGTCCTCCAGAACTCCTTATGGAGTTAGTCCAGGCAGATGTGGACGAAGGGTCGGTTTGCAGAGTGGGTTGATGGAGGCATTGCTGAGATTGAGCGTCGGTTTGGGCCAGCGGTTGCGGCCGGCAAGCTGGGCGTAGTGCAAAAACCTAGGGCTGCCGCTCGCTTGATTGGAGACAGCAGCGTGTCAGGTGCGAACGCGCAATGCCGGATTGAGGAGCGCATTGAGCTGCCAACTCTCAGACTCTCAGCACCGTTGCGCAGTTCGTGTCTAGACATCCGGAGGAACAGTGGTGTGCGTTCAGTTTGGATTCTAAAAAAGCCATTGAGAGGGTCAAGGTGCACCCAGCAGAGCAGGGGCTGAGCACTTTCTGCGTCAAAGACCGGAGCGGAAACAGCAGGTTTTTACAAAGTTTGCCATTTTGGTGCGGCCTGGTCCGCTTATTGGTGGAGCAGAGTTGCTGCAGCGTTTATTCGTTTGGCCCGCCGCTTCTTGCGCCGCAGTCATTTTCTATGCGTCTACGTAGACGATGCGCTAGCGCTGTTCCCGCGCAGAGTCGCGGCTCCAATGGCGTGCATTGTATTCGTTCTTGCCAGCGCTCTTGGTTTCGCTTTGTCGTGGCGCAAAGTAGACCTGGGTCACAAGCTGATTTGGATAGGCTGGGATCTGGTTTTTCAGGGTTGTGCGTGTGCTGAGCTCCCAGAACAAAAGCGCTGTGTGCTGCTGGAGCCCTTGAGGGGTTTCTGCGTGTCTTCCAAGAAAGTGCCACGAAAAGCTTTTCAAGCCCTGGTCGGGCGGCTTGTTTGGTTCACTTCGGGGGCGCATTGGATCCGGCCTTGGCTGCGCTGAACAAACCAAAGCTGCGCTTTCATGCGTTGGACGCCATTCATTCAAGTGGAAGAACTGATGTCCAAGCTATCGCCCAGCGGCTCTGTACTGGACAGACGCAAGCTTTGTGATGTGCGTGAAGGCTGGCGGCTGCTTGAGCATAGGGGGAAAACCTTTTACAGATTTGTGAATGCGTGCTCTGCGCCAAACAAAAAGCAAGCAAGGGAAGGTGTGGACCAAGTTTGGGGAGCCAGGGCCGGCTCACATTTCCTTATCAAAAGAAGAGATTGGGGTGACGCGCTTCCTGTATGCCCTAGTAGAGAAACAAGAGCCAATTCATCTGGCAGAGAGGCCTGGCCGGGCGTGCGTGGCCGCCGCGGATGCTTTTGCAGAAGGGCCCAACTGGGGCATTGGGGGGACACATCTCATCACCCTGCGCTTGAGCCATGTGCCGGGCGAACGCAATGAATGGGCAGATTGTTTGTCAAGAGAGCTTCGAATTTCAGGGCTGGACCCTGGTAAGCGAGTATGCCTTGATTGGCTTGCGCTGCTGAATCTAGGCTGGCAGACAGTGTCCAACGGCGCCTAAAAGACTGCGCGGTGGTTTGGGGCGTTTACTGGGGCGGTCACGGCTTTTGGCGTCGGCTGTGCTTTGAGGACCAGGGTTGGTGCCAGCTCCCAGCCTGGCACCACGCCCTGGAGTTGTCGCCAAAAGCTGTGAGCGCTGTTTTGGGAAGAGAGGGCTTGGGCTAGGAGTGATGGGAACGTTGAAGGGATACTCTGCATAAGGGAATCACTCCACACCCCAATCCCCTTCCAGTTGAACATGTTGTTCCTTGAGTTCAGGCGCTGCCTTTTGTCTAAACAGGTGTTCTTTGTTCAGGAACCGCATCCTTGCTTGCACCCTGCCCGCCCGCCCCAGATGGGAGCTGTGGTGAAATGAAATGCGCGAGTTGGTGCCAGGCCTGAGGTGCTCCCAGCCTGGCACCACCCCTTAAAGTTGTCGCCAAAAGCCGTGAGCGCTGTTTTGGGAAGAGAGGGCTTGGGCTAGGAGCGATAAGACAGAGCTGGGACTCGGACACCCCAAAGCTCCAACCAAGTTCGATCAGATCGAAGGACTAGGAATTACTGGAAAAATCATGAACCTGAAGAATCTGAAGAATTTGGAATCGAAGAAGCTCCCGTAGTGCGAATTGTGTCCACGAGTGAGTGCCTGGGTGTCCAAGTGCACCCATTAGAGTCTTGAGGGCAACGCGCGGATGTCGCGCAGTGGCAGTGCTTGTGCACCGCCGGGTCCACCTGTGGTCAGCCTGTGCCTGAAGTCGTGGTTTGTTTTGTCTATCAGAAAAGACTTTTGCCCTGGTAAGGGACAGTGACAGTCGGGCAGACAATTCTTGAACAATTGGTGTGTTATGTGGGGCGGCGTTTGTGTTTGTTTTTTTGTTTGCTTGCAAGAAAAGGCAACAAGGGTTACGGAAGCAGGTCAGGTCTTTTGTGTAAGGAAATTTTTGCAGTGAAAACAATGTTTGCGCTCAAGAATGTTCAGAGAAAGTATCAAAGAGCCTAGTCCGAAGTTCATTCAAAAGACTTTACACCCTAGGCCCTCGGCGACAGCCCTACAGCGCACGAGCGAGCTACACCGAGCCACCCAAGACGGTACTCTCGCCCGACACCAAACTGGGGCGGAATCGTCGGAGGATAGGTCGCTGGCTTCGGATGAAAAACCAGAACGCCGCGGAACGTCTGGCAATCAAAACAAACCAAAGAGGATGCAATTTTTTCCTCATGAAGTGAGGCCTGGGCTGGCATATGCAGGATCCACAACAGAGGGCACAACAGTTCCTTTATTGGGACTGCCTCTTCGTCATTCAATTTAGATTCAGATATCAGCCAGTGAGATGAAGCACAAAGGATGGAGTGGTTTTCCATTGCTTTTGCAGGAATGCGTACTGTACCTATATATAAATCAAACAGATGGTCTTTCAGAACGGCCGTTGGCAAATGGACACAAGCATTTTAGTTCCTTTACCCTTGATAATGATATAGTTTCCAGAGTGTAAAGTAGACGAGTTCAATCGTTTGTTTGTCCTGAGGACCCGCCGGCATATTGTGCCTGCGAGGGCAAGGCGTCCCAGTGAAAGTTCCTCAGGCGGGTGATCCCGCCGTTGGATTTTTTGTTTAAAGTCAGCCCATAGTTTTGTGGTTCTTTAGCAAGTGGTGCTACCAATAGAAGCAGGTGATGTACGTTACTGCAAGCGCACTGTGTGATTAAAAAGGCAAATTTGCATCGGCAAATTTGCATTGAATGTGACTCATACATATATGCAAGTACCATGTTACCATATATATATATATATTGTTTTTCCCAAACAGTTTACTGTTGGGGTCTATCTTAGAAAAGAGAGCTGGCCACACTCACTGGCCGCGCCCCTGAACTCTGTGGCTGGGCTCTGTGGCCTGGCTCTGTGGCCCGGCTCTGTGTCCGGGTCTTGTCCTCCTCTTGTCCTTGTCTTGGCCACGCCCCTGAACTCTGTGGCCTGGCTCTGTGGCCGGGCTCTGTGGCCCGTCTCTGTGTCCGGGTCTTGTCCTCCTCTTGTCCTTGTGTTGGCCACGCCCGTGAACTCTGTGGCCTGGCTCTGTGGCCGGGCTCTGTGGCCGGGCTCTGTGGCCCGGCTCTGTGTCCGGGTCTTGCCTTCCTCTTGTTCCCCAAACAGTTTACTGTTGGGGTTCTATCTTAGAAAAAAACTGGCCACACTGACTGGCCTGAACTCTGTGGCCTATTGGTCCCAACGAATCGTTTTGAAACTGTTTTGGGGTCTATGCTGGTATATTTTTAATTGTTAATGCAGGCTATATATTCTAAGTTTCACTCACGGCAAATCTTTCAGATAAACCCGAAAGTGAGCCCACTGCTTCTCGACAACTGTCATTTGCTGCTAGCTGTGTTCCTGTCATTATACAAATACAAATAAAGCTGGCAACAAACTGAGCATTGAATTAGGGCCAGCCTTGTTCCCTCCTTTCCAGCATTACTGTACATTACACCCTGGCTTGCGGAGGAGGATTCCTTTCCAAGATTGATTGTCAAAAGATGCTTGGCCACTCAGGAACTTTGCACTTCTTGACACAAAAACATACAAAGCCATATTCTTGTGAAGCGGGATACCCGGATTGCTCCCACTCTCTGGTGGACAGACCAGGTGAGAAATGTGAAGGTTGCTAGGATCGCCATGATGTCAGGTGTGGCCCCTCAATCTTCGCGTCTCACACCTAGTGCACGGAGCCCTTGTGAGGTTTGGCTGGGCCTGGTAGTGAACTTAAATAAGACTCCTGAAATCGGAGTGGTTGTGGACTTATGTGCCCCTTCTAGGAAACTTGCTTCTGTAAAGTTAAGGCTAAACAAATTGTAAAATTTTGTAAAGACTGCTCTGAGTTGCAGCGGTATGGCATGCACATTGTGTGTGTGCACATAGTGGCGTGTGAGATGGATCAAGGGTTTCGTGCGCGTTCTTGGAATTCTGGTGGGAGGTGTGCACTGAGTAGAAATAGGGTGCTCAGTTCCATTGAAACAGAACGGAGGGCTCCAAATCGCAGGGAATGGATGTGTGCCAATTTGGGATAGAAACAAATAAATAGAAATAACGTTCAATTAGAATTAAGTTGAAATCAGAATTTAATTAGAATTAGAATTACGCCTCTCAATACTGTGTCATAAGAGTGCCGTGAATCTGGACTTGGCAGTCCCATTCCGAGGCAATGAAGTCAGAGAAGGTTGAGGAGGCAAAGAGTCTTGGTCTTAGCCGCCTTAGCCTAGCACTTTTCTGATGTCATGGACAAACTATGATTGACACATATCAAGCTCAAGTTTTCAGCATATTCTTTTTCTCCGGCATGATTTGGTACACTTCATTTTCACCATACTATGAAGTCGGCGTGAGATAAGAGTGCCTGGTGTAACCTCCTCCCAAGTCATGTTAATATATATATATATGCGAAATCAACTTCATTGATGAATGCACACATGACCTAGGACTGCTGATCTGAAGTCCTTTCTCACTGGAGCCCACAAATCCCAAGTCACCTGAACCCAGTAGATCATTGCTGCTTCCTTTTTGGTTTCTTCACAGCACATTTGCCAGAAGCGTCCTGGTCAAATGGGCATTTTAGACTTGTCTGAATATAGTTGCGGTGGTGGTGACCAGCATTCCTGCACCGTTTGGATTGCTGAGATGGCTCGACCCCTTTATCGCCTCGCAACGGCCAAGCGACCAGTGCTTTTTGCAGGCACGAAGGGAATTTGCAGTTCCAGGGCCTGGAACTTCACGATTGGATAAACCCTGAAAGACGAATTGCACTTTCCAAGAAACACTGATCGTTTGATCATCTCATTTGGTGTACGGGTTGCACTGAGTGCAAAACGGTTGAATGCAGGTGTGATGCACAATACGTTGGTGAAAGTTGTGGATCAGCAAGATTCGATCAATTAGAAATTCGTTTCCACTGTGAAGGCTAAGAGCGGCTAAAGTTCACAAGAGCAGTTCTCTCATTGTAATGGCATAATCGATGACCTCGCGGCGAGGTCGCGCAGTCTACAGAGCATCACTGAACCTGAGGCCCGGGGCTAGAGTGAACCTATGTGAACCTGTGGATGGGTGGACTTATTGCAATAATCCCATGTTCTTACTGTTCCAACCCAATAGCGATGGCCTCCAACCTACTAACGATGGCCTCCAACCTACTACGGAAAACTTTGCCAACGCACTTGCTTAACAGGCACCACCTCTAGCCCTGCAACATTCAGGGACACGTCACACATACATGTACTGGCATCCACTGACGCCTCTGACACATTTGTCGCATCCCCACTGGCATTCAGTGACGCACTTGTCACATGCCCATTGGCATCCATTGGCACACCCATTGGCATTGGATGGCACATTTGCCACACAGCTGGTTCTAGGAGCCATGGCCATGGCAGCATAGTTTTGTTGTGACAATTCTCAATACCGCACACATGCGATCCTTTGCCACATTTTTGGTCCAGGCACACTACAGGTTTTCAGGTTGAAGATGAAACAGATCGGCATGTTCTGGGCATTCTTTGCAGCGCAGCCTAACTTCCCGGTCTCATGCGTCACTTTGCCACCAAGAGAGATAGACAGAGACAGACAGATAGCTAGAGACAGACAGAGAGACAGAGGCAGACTGAGACAGAAAGACTAGGAACAAAAATGAAATCAGGGAAACTATGAGCACTTCAAGAAACTACTTCCGCTTAGCAGTGCCAAAAGCTTCCTTCAAGATCGCATGATCGAACTAGTTCCTAGATTTTGGCAGAATTTAACAAAATAGAAGGAGCAAGGATGCTACTAGGAGCAAAGGGCATCGCTACTAGGAAAAAGAAGCTACTAGGGGCTCCTGGCCTTACTACTAGGAGCAAGGACGCTACTAGGGGCTCCTGGCAGGGTTTGGCCAACCCTTCGACACCGTGAGCCCGACTAGAACTTACAGACTGGAGAAACGTGGCCAAGGCATGCCAAGGCAAGGGGCTTTTGACTCCTCCAGTGCATTGGATGTTTGAGAAAGAAACAGATGCAGGCCGGTGCCACTCCTACACGAGTCGCCAGGCCACTTTTTCTTTTTTGTTGTTTTTGCGTGCAAGTCCTCAAATTGCCAAAAAAAGTTTCATTCACACTGCAGTTTCAAGTTTCTACACAAGTTCAGCTATGAAAGCGAAAGACAGTCAACCCTTTGTTTTACATTAGGTGTCCAGATATGCCTGTGGCAGAGTCTTGAGGGACTCTACCGAGTCTATTGTTTGATACTCTCCTTCGAGGCCGGCGGAGGTGTCGACCCGAAGGTCGCAGGTCGGGATTGCGACAGTGATGGTTGCCAGTCTTGATCGTGCAAAGTGAAGCACAGCCACCACATCACATTGAAGCACTACTGTAGGTTCTAGTGCTGCTTGTCATGGAATGACTCAAATGACATCAGATCCAGATTTGGTATTTCCAGAAGGCCATCTATTTGTTGCTCGCGCAATCTATGATCGGTTCAAAGTGTGCCCCTGGAATTTCCACGCGCGGATTTTTTCAAGCAAGGGAATAGTGGACTGTCCGAGACTGCACACGAATCGCCACATTGGGTAACGATGTTTTCCGCAGCCGAGACTCAAGAATCGCCGCATGCGTCTTCCCAGGTTTCCAAAGGCAAAACACTAAGACTTGCCATACTGCTTCCCGCTGGCTGGATTGCTCACCTTCGTTGGGGATGGTAACAGTCTAGCTCCCTCACTCCCTCCGTCATTCGCTGCCGCTCCTGCGCACTCAGCCACCCTAAATCGTCGTTGCTTTTGCCTGCTCGATTTACTCATACCCGAATTCTTCAGGCATGATTCTTTGGGCATGACCTAAGGAAAGCGTTGGTTTGGCAATGCTGGGGCACTGGGGGATGATACTTTGAGTGACTGTTATAGATCATAGTCATGTCATAGCCATAGCTGTGTTCTGAATGTGTGGCAAAGATGTTTGAAGGTTCACTCTTGTTTTTTTGCGACAGGTTACCCCAATTGGCGGGCGACTCTCGGCATCTGCCTCCCAGCCCACCAGGCATGAGGGCCTGCGAGTACATTTCACTTTGCGTATCATGTTATATAATCATGTTTGTATTTCACAACACATGTTGCAGTGACAAGAGCAGGGCATTGTTACGTGTTGTTAAGCAGTTGAGTGGAGTAGAGTGATTTGTGTGTTGCTTTAATTGGCAGTTGCGAAGATCCAAAGTATACTGCAACGTGGTCCTTGTTGCAGCAAGAGCATCATTCTGGCTCATTTTGCAGCAAAGCACGGTGTGCAAGGCCCATTGTCACCTCGGTGAGGCCGCGCCAGGGAGGTTCCATCACTACACCTCCAGCAACACCAGGCCGAATGGTTGCTGTGGTGGCTTGCAACCAACGCTAATTATTCAAGTCGGCTTGTGACCAGTATTCATTTTGCGGTGATGACAGGTGACCACTTGAAATATCGTATTTTTACCTGTGGCCATACCTGTGCAATACAACATCAATCAAGTGTTGAACATACTCAGTGTCAAAGGGAGGAAACAATTGGTTTGGGCAGCCAATGCTTGGTCGCCTTCGGATGGGCCATGCAGGCGTCCGGTTTCATGCGCGAACGACAAAGTCTACTTTGCCTTGCAAGGTACGGACAGTTTTGGTCACGCGGGCTGAAGTTCCAACAGAATGCCTCAACTTGCCTACAAACTGACTCAAGAACGAAGGAATGCTTTCAACAGTTTTGGCATTGATGGGCAAAGGAGGGGGGATCCCGTTTGCTAACAAGCTCAATATGTGAACCCGTGCAATATGGAACATGGTCACAGCTCCCTTTGATCACTGAAGGCCATCAAAGTTAAGTCACCAAAATGCAGTCGCCCAACATGTCAAAATGAACAATTTGATTCAAATCGTGGACATGTGCTCGGACCTGGACAGTTCATCGTAGCAACTTCTGGCAACAACGCTGTGGAAAGATTATGATTGGCCCAAATCAATGAGCAGCATTGGATCGTATAACTTTCTGCTGAAACAAGAGCCATCGAAAGTCTTCAAGCATACTACAAAGGTTTTGTCTGTTTCCAGCATGCAGATGGTTGCAAGCACAAGGCCATGGTGGTCACACCATCTTGTGGTGGTTGCGCCGGGGTGTACTACCCTGGCTTGACCGGCGTGCACCAATCCTGCCTGCTCAGGATGCCAGCGGCCGGGATGCCATCGTGCGAGACCTCACCCCCAGCGCATGGACGCTGGCGGCATGCTTTGAATCTATTCTGAATCATCAATAGTGTATATATAATTGGATATATATAAAGTACATATATCAGTACACACAAAATAATGTAATATATATATATGTAGTGTATATATATATATAGACACACTATATATATAGACACACACACACACATGTTGAAGTGTATAGCCTATATATACTCCGCTTGTACAGTCCTTAGTCAAGAGACTTCACTTGTTTTGGCTCAAGGGATCATGTTTTGATGGTAGCGCGAAGGCCCGGTGAGAGTGAAAGGGACCACGCGTTGCGAGTGAAAGAAGAGCGGCATAGCAAAGCTGCAGACTCCTCGGAGGAGGAGTGGAAAGAGGAAGAAGGGCCGGCGTCGGAAGCGGCCGTTCTGGCCGCGCCGGTAGCCGAGCAAGAAAAAGGAAAAGAAAGAAGAAGAACCTTAGCTTGAAAAGCCTGAACAATTGCCTGGAACAGAACCTGAGGAAGAAAAGTACGAAGCGGAGGAGCCAGGATTAGACGAAGGGCCCAAAAGAAGGAGGGCAAGAGAGCGAAACGGATCCCAGTGACCTTGATCCATCAGCCGACCCGGCCGGGCAGCCGGAAGAAGAAGAGCTGCCATCCGTGTTGGGTGACGAATACGTTAACTCAAGCGGACAAATACGATCGCCACTGCACCGTGGCGCGCATACGCCAAGCCGAAGAAGACCCATCGCTTTGAAGGAGAGTCCAGAGGAAGGGGCTCGGGCTTCAGGCTGAGGAGCAAAACTTCAAGGCAGTACAGGTCCTTGAAGTGCTACATCCGCCAGCAGAGCAAGGGCGGTGGAAGGATCTCGCAAGAGCTTGAGGACAAGATCAAAGAATTCGGCCGCTCCCGAACGACAAGCGAGATTCATGAAGAACGTGAGGAACAAAAGAAGCGGCGCCAAGCTCGAAGGGCTGCAAAGCGTGAGGGACAAGGGCCAAAAGAAGAGGAGGAGGAGAAGCAAGGATCCTCCGAGAGCCGCGGAAGATCGCCGGTGAGGTTGCGATCTAGGAGCCATTGCGGCTTCGTTCAACTGGCAGGCAGACTGCAATCAGGGCAGCCCAGCGGCAAGTGGGCCACGACGAGACAAGGGGCCGCAAAGTTTGGGGTCGCGCCCTCAAGTTGAACCAGAGGATCGAGCGCTGCAGAGCAGCGGAGTTGGATCCCTGTCCCTGTGTATCAAGAGCAGGGAGTGTATAACTTCTACTTGAGAAAGCTTCAACGGATACAGGCCGACCTGATCCGGAGGAGCAGGATGAAAAGTTGGAAGAAGTTGATGAGGTTGAGAAACCCATCCAAATAAGAGCGGCGGCGATCGAGGAGCACGAGGCGACAGGCCATGTGCAGTATAGGAGTTGGCGCCGGCATTGCATTGCTGGACGTGCTGTGGGACAGCAGCATCGGACAAGGTCCGGGGAGCAGAAGGCCAAGAGCCTACTGACTGCCGACGGTGGCCCTGGACTACACGTTCATGTCCAGAGGTGGTGTGGAGGACGAGTGAGTGAAGCCGATCCTCGTGATGAAGGATGAGAGGACACAGTCCTTAGCGGCAACCTTCGTGGGCTCGAAGGGACCAACGCCGTATGCAGTGAAGTTTGTTGCCAACTTCTTAACCTTGGGTACAGGAAAGTGGTACTCAAGTCGGATGGAGAGCCATCCATTGTGGCTTTGAAGGAGGTCGCCGGTGGCAGACCACCAGGTGAACGGACTGGCAGAGAATGCCTGTAAAGAGGAGAAGCGCCAAGTGCGAGTGCTCAGGAGCGCTTTGGAAGAGAAGCTCGTAAGAGAGCTGAAAGTGATGATCCTGCATTGGCGTGGCTGCCAAGACAGGCAAAAGACCTGTTGAGCCGGTGCAAGAAAGGGTCTGATGGAAGGACCCCTGAGGTCCGAAGATGTGGAAAGCAATGGAGAAAGACGAGGCGCAAAAATCCGACGGCTGAGTTCAGCTGTTCGCTGGACCGGGAACATGCCGCGGCAAGGCCTGCCGGAGAGCAGTTGATGCTTGTGGTACCGCCCCCAAGGGAGGAACGAGTGGCGCCACCACAACAGAGAAGAGTGTATAGAAGAGAAGATGTGCGCAAGCGTGGAGCCACAGATGGAATCTTGGAGGATAAGAGGACGACCTTGCCGCGCACAGAGGCGTGCAGAGCAAGGATCACTGAAGCAATGGAAAAAGACGAGGCTGGGCAAGCAAGGCTTGAAGATCATGCCAAGAAGAGAAAGAAAAGAAAGGCAGCAGCTTGAGACAGTGAAGCCGAAAGTGGTAGCAGACAAGGGCAAAGACATCACGGCAGAAGACGCGACAGGAGAGCCAGAGAGTAAAGAAGACGAAGCTAAAGGCTCAAGATCTGGAAGTGCACCGCCGCCGGCGGCGGGGAAGGTGAGAGCAACTATCCAGAGAATCGAAATGAAGCATGCAGTAGCTGAAGAAGAGAAGAAACCAGTGGCCAAGGCCAAGGTGATGGCAGAACCAAAGAAGCGAGCGGGTGAACTTTGCGTAGACCCGCCGGTTGCAAAGGTAAAGCCAAATTCAGTGCAAGGCACGAGGCGAACGGCAGAAGTAGATGTGGAGAAGCTAGAGGAGAGCGCAGATCCGTTCAAGAACGCCCCAGACTCCAGCAAATTGCCAAGAGACGTCTGGAAGGTCATCCGGGAGACATACTCAGTGAACGACCTGGAGATCACCGTGCCGAGGTGGCTGACATAGCGCACCTTTGCACCCCGATGGCAGCAGTTGATGTGATGGAGCTGTATTCGCCAAAGCGATTCACAGCACTGGCTGAGAAGTACAAACTCCGGCCAGGATTCGCCATAGACCTTTGTGAAGCAAAGGCTGATGGAACCTTCAGGGATTTGAACCGTCCTGGGGATGTGCAGGCAGTGCTCGACGTAGTAGATGAGGATGAGCCAGCGTTGCTGACGGGCTTGCCGCCGTGCCGTATATTTTCGCAGCTGCAGAACCTGAACTGGAAGAACGTGGCGCCAGATGTGAGAAGAAGGAAGATGGATGAGGCCATCCATCACTTGCGCGCAAGCGTTGAGCTGTACACCAAGCAGCATCATCGCGCAGGACGCAAGTTCCTTCATGAGGCCCCGCATGGGCCGCAACAAGCTGGAAGGACGAGAAAGTCGAAGCGCTAGCAAAACAAGACGGAGTATTCGTGGTCAAAGGTCAACGTGCAGATGGCAGGTGATGGCAACACACAAGAGATGTCCGGAAAGAGACCGGCTGGATGACCAGTTGCCAGCAATCTTACTTTTTAGCGCCACGCCGCCCTTGAGACTACTATGCTCGTTGTGGGCAACCAAGAGAAAGCCTCGCCGCATTTCTATGGAACGCCAAAGAGGAAAATCTACATAGAGTTGCCTGAGGAAGATGAAGCCAGCAAAGATGGGCAGAGCTGTGGACTTCTTGTGAAGTCTATGTACGGAACGCAAGATGCCCTGAACATCTGGCAGACGCATCGGGTTCCGTAGAGGAATCTCAAACGCGTCAGTTTTCTGCCATGAGGACTAGGATGTCCGAGTGATGGTTCACGGTGATGATTTCCTAGCTTGGGAGACGCAGGACAAACTTGGAAAGGTTCTCAGTGAGGCCTATGAGCTGAAATGTGTCGGTATTCTTGGAGATGAAGATAGAGACCGAAAGGAAGCTCATTTCCTGAATCGGTTGATCCGCGCCGACGAGAAGAATGGCAAAAGCTCAGTCGTGATCGAGGCTGATCGACGACATGTAGATTGTAGATCTACTCATCCAGACATTTGTTTGGAGAAGTTAAATGGCGTCGAGTCACCTGACATCAAGAAGTCTTCGGAGCAACAGATGTTGGAATCCCGAAGGTCGCTGCTAGACAAGAGTGATGCATCGCGGTACAGATCCGCAACTATGAGAGCAGCGTACCTGGCGCAAGATTGCATGGACATAGGTCATGCTGTAAAGAACCTTGCCCGTGGAAGGGCGACACACGCGGAGGCAAGGTTGGCGTCTGAAGTGGCTGATCCGCTACCTCATGAGCAAGGGGTATCCGGACGTGGCGCAAGTCTTCAGTTCACAACAAATGCCAACCAAGTTGCGAGTGCAAGTTGATGCAGACCATGGCGGTGATGCTGTCACGCGCAAGAGCACCACGGGAATGGTGGCCATCTTTGTTTGGCACCCATGTGCTCAAGCGCAGCAGTCGTGTCCAGTCAACGATCGCACTTTCAACGGGAGAAAGTGAATACTATGCTCTGGTTCGACAGGTCTATAGATTGCAGAGACGAATAAATAGCATAGGTAGATAGATAGATAGGTAGATTTAAAACAAATATACGGTATATGTATCTATATGATGTATATTCTGTGTGCGCAGGCAAATGATGAAGACGAGTGCTGAAGCAGCTGGGTTGTCCAATAAAGACTGACAGTCATTGAGCAAGACAATCAAAAAAGCATGCGGAAAACAGGAACTCACCTGACTCACCTCGCCCAAGTTTTTCTTGCTCTATTGTCCACAGTCAAAGATCGACTCATTAATTCCTTGGACTGGTAGCCACACACGAAGGTGAGGGAAGTTGGATAGTTTGATGCTAGAAGTAGAGCAAACATGTCTAAGATTCTTTGGACCTAGCTGAAAGATTCTGGGCTAAATGCAGGTTGTGGTCCGCCAAGAGACTCGGAAGTATACGATCCACCATTTTTTGGAGTCCAGTCGACCTTGCCAGGGCTTTGGCTACCTCGCGCTCCTCTCCATCCCTTGAGACTCGGGTGGTGGGAGAGCTCAGCGATGGGTGCAGTGGGAATCAAGGGAACCAAAAAGTAGGGACCTCTTTGCTCTTGCGCCGACACGAGGACGTTGGCAGGGCGTTCTGCGCCGAGAAAAGATATATCCAGGATGTGGGTCCTTGTAAACAGCATCCGGTACATACAGCTCTGCCTTTGAAAAGAGGCCATGACATGTTTTTAATATTACTTGTATTTTGTTGGCGCCTGCAATTTAATCGCATCCCTTGTGCCAACCTTCCTAGGTTATCAGGAAAGGAAACCTGGCAAGGGCTAGCTTGAGTTTGCTTGCGAAGCAAAGGGGTTAGCTTGAATAGCCTGCTCGGGACCAAATATTGAAATATATCAATTCTATTGACCCCCCATTCCCCCTCCTCTCCTCCTTCCAATGTGATGAACAATTTATAAATCAATTACTTTGGTGACCCCCCCTCGCCAGCACCACTATCATCACCCACCTACAATAGCGTGACACCCATTCACTGGCAGTAACAGCAGTGCCCCTACAATGAGGTTGCGCAGCACGGCTTCGACGCAGTGTGTGCAGTTCTTACACATGCCAGCGTTCACACGCCGCAATTTTTATGCAAACCAGCGTTCACACGCCATATTGCTCTACAAACGAGCGTTGACGCAACACAGCCCCTACGCAAAGCCGTGTTGACAAACCTCGCCACACCACATGCTCTAGCAACCTCTCCTCGCGACCCAGATCACTCTTATGCGGAGCGCGCGCGTGACATACGACCGCACTTGGCTGAGCGCCAGGCAATTCTTACACACCACGGCTCTCACATACACCAGTGTTGACAAGCCTCCACGACACCACACGTTGTAGCAACCCCTCCTCTCCGACATAAGTCTCTTCTCTCACACACCACACTTGATACAGCACCTCTCATATATTCCTGGTACCTCTCTACCTTTCGTGTTTCCCTGTCCCAAGTTGGGTTTGAAAAGGTGTTCCTATCAAGATGAATGAACAGACCTATGCCCTGCAACAACTGCATGAGAGGAGTGATCATGCGTAGCAGCCAACATTTCCCGCAACACACCGTACAGTACTTACGTGCATTCACGTGCTAACATTTTTAAATGTGTGTCGCTGGTCGCTGGCAAGAACTACAGCAGACATTGAGGAAGAATCTGCGTACTAGGACATGTGCCTGAACAGGCCTGACGGCGAGCCATTGAAGTTTATGGAATGACCACCTTCTTGGGGGGCCCAAATCAATAAAAGGGTTATATATAGCCCAAAAACCGAACTAATCAACGCATGAATCTCACAAACAAACTCACTTTGCTTTGGAAACCGATTCCGAAGACTCCAATGAATCTCCCAGGTCCTGAAGAAGTGGACATAACTTCTAGTGTTCGAGTCTCGAACGGCTAACTACTGAACCTGCAGCCAAGTTGGATTTTTAAGGTCAAAGGTCTGAAAAATACGTTGGGTACATCGACAGAAGCAGTATCAATCAATTTAGGAAAGCAATATGTAGAGCAAAAGACAGACACATATATTGAACCATATGCCCTTGAGCGAAGTGCTTACAAGAAAGAGGAAGATCTTCGGCTTTTGCCTCGCAACATAACCTCGCAACGGCCAACATCAAGCAACCTTTGCCACCAGATCACTTGCAGCACAAGAAGTTAAGTACTGAAGGGTGGGCAGACTAACAGCTGTGTGGACGCAAGAAACTTTGAACGACTGTTGAACCAGTAGGAATACACACATACCTTTCAATATGTGGAAGGGAGGCGTCGGAACACACATCCAGACATGGGCTCTAAACAGAAATGATCCTTTTTGACTTCAATAACGGCCAGCAGCATGTCTCACCATCACACCTATGGGTTGAACGAATTCAATTGATTCTGACTGAAGGTCCTGCAATCTTGCTTTCCGTGTCCTGTATGCAAAAGATCTACGAACCAAATTATTACGCCTGATCCCGAGCCCTAGCCTGCGTCCGATCAGTAGTACTGTAGCTACTTGTTGGCTTATATAATAGCCACTTCCTTACTCTTTTTTGAAATTGGTTCTGGCTCTTGACTTTTTGCTTTCGGCGCTTTTTCTTCGGTCATTCTTGGCTTTTGGCTTCTTGGCTTTTGGCTTCTGGCCCACTGTTTTTCTTTGAGAGCGGGTGGTCATGGGGCCTGGGTTTTGGTTTTCCCAAAATTTTAGGTAAATGCTTCAGTGGCAGCCCCTCTCCATATAAACACACATATAATCTATTCCTTCTCTGTCTATATGAACAAATATATTATGTATTCCTGAGTCAGGGTCATGTTATTGTTTTGGAAGCAACAATCAGTCATTCAGATGGTTTTGAACTAGACAATTAGGAACGAAGCAGGCCATAAAAGTGTTTATTTTAACAATTGTCCTCTAGATCTCTGCTTATAATTATGTTTAGATTTGGAAAGCTTGTATATAGACGCTTTTATGTTACAAAAGATTCTCTATAGATCTCTGCAGATAATCATTTTTATATTTTATCACTATATAGGATCCTTGTATGTTAAAAGCTTTCTTCTAGATTTCTGCGAGTAGATATCCCATATATGTGTGTTTTCATGCAAGGAAGCTCTTGAAAGAAGAACTTTTTATTGATATATAGCATGTCTAAATTGACATGACCATTTCCAGAGATCTAGAGGAAAGCTTTTGAAATGCAAGCTTTTATATATTTTTATTGTAGAAATGATCATCCCCAGAGATCTAGAGGGAAGCTCTTGAATTAGAAGCGTGCACATAAAACATTTTTAATATGTCTATATTATATCCAGTGATTACTGTAAATAAATATATCTAACTGTTTACTCCAAAAAATAGTTTTAGTCTTGTTCCCAGCACTCCCAGGGCAAAAATTACTGTAAAACAAAGGGTTTTGTAGCATGTGTTTTCTTAAACAAAATAGACTAGAGCTAGAATAGAATTAGGTAGAATTAAGTTGGATTTGAGTTAGAGCGAAGATAGAACTGAATTAAAACCGAATTTCAACTAAATTTGTATTGAACTATAACTATAACCTAATTGAAATTAGATAAGAGTTGAATTAGAAAGGAATTGGAATTCAAATTAGAAGTTCGCCAGAATAAGATGCAAAACGCTTGAGCTACAAGATGCACAAGTCGAGGAGGGTGTGAAATTACAAAGCCGAAGCAAATGCAACAAGCCTTTGTCAAGAAATGCAAGTGGCAACCGCATTGATACCTGTCAGCAGTTAATGCACTCAGACTTGTATATGGAGATGTGGACAAGGACACAGGAAGTGTTGAGCTCAGACGATTTCAGATAAAAACAAAAAGAACAGATGCCTTGAGATGAGAAGTAAGCTCAGATGCTAAAACACAAAAACCTTGGGAAAACAAAAAACCAAAAAAACAATTCTCAGAAACTCTTAGCTGGACCCTCCAAAATCAGAAAAAACAAAAAACCAAAAAAGCGGTGAGAAAACAAAAAACAAAAAAACAAACAAGATGGAGCCCACGAACCCGAATGCAAACACGTTCCAAAAGCTACATATGTCCAAATGACACTCTTGTAGGACACTCTTGTGGGACACTCTTGTGGGTCACTCTTGTAGGAAACTCTTGTGGGACACTCTTACGGGACACTCTTGTGGGACGCTCTTGTGGGACACTCTACTAGGACACTCTTGTGGGACACTCTTGTAGGACACTCTTGTGGGATACTCCTGTAGGACACTCTTGTGGGACACTCTTGTGGGACACTGTTGTAGGAAGCTCTTGTGGGACACTCTTGTGGGACACTCATACGGGACACTCTTGTGGGACACTCTTGTGGGACACTCTTGTAGGACACTCTTGTGGGATACTCCTGTAGGACACTCTTGTGGGACACTCTTGTGGGGCACTCTTGTGGGACATGTGGGACACTCATTTGGGACACTCTTGTGGGACACTCTTGTGGGACACTCTTGCAGGACACTCTTGTGGGACACTCTTGTGGGACACTCTTGTGGGACACTCTTGTAGGAAACTCTTGTGGGACACTCTTGTAGGACACTCTTGTGGGACACTCTTGTAGGAAACTCTTGTGGGACACTCTTGTGGGACACTCTTGTGGGACACTCTTGTGGGACACTCTTGTGGGACACTCTAGTAGGAAACTCTTGTGGGACACTCTTGTAGGACACT